CCCCCCCCCCCCCCCCCCCTCCGGCCAGGTGGCGCGGGCGGTCCATGCACCGAGGCAGGCGGTCCTGGAAACAGCCGGCACTGGCCCCCGGGGAGAAATCCCAACCCGTGGTGCCCCGGGGACGACGAGGGAGGGGAACTTTCACGTTGGCATGGGGTTGAGGAGGGAGGAAGGAGGGGAGGTCGGTGGAAGCCCCCGGCCGCCGGGCGCGGTCCTCGGACGTGGCCTCGATCGGCCCCCATCAGCGGGCAGGCCCGTCCGCGAGGCGAGCCCCTCGGGCCAGGGGTGCAGTGAGCTGCGTGAGGGGATCCCAAAAAGGAGCCCTCTTTGCCAGACTAAAAGATGCAAAGACTTCCCTGGACGCGTGTGCCCCCCCCCCCCCCTCCCCCCCGTTCCCCATGGGCACTTGGATCCCGCCGGGGATTGTCCCGTCCCCCCTTCCGAGGCCAGCCACCCCCGGCCGGCCAGCCGGCCGAGCTGCCACATATGCACACCCGCCCACACGCGTATGGTCCCCCTGTGAATTCTATCGCCCCCGAAGACCTCAGCTCGTGCTCCCTGTCCTGCGCACCGCTTCCCCCCCCCCCGGTTCCGCGAGAACATGTCCCCCAGGCGGGGCGCACCGGGGAGGGGCGGGGGGCGGGGGGCGGGCGTGCAGAAAAAATAATCCAAGTCTCTCTGGGTCAGAACGGTCTTGGGTGGTCCCAGTCACGCCTGGACGTGAGTTCTCGGAGTGGCATGTGATCCACAGACGCGTGCCAGCCGCGAGGGTTGACCCTGGCGCCTCGGGGGAGTCTGCTCGAACAGGCGGGCGGCGGTAGCGCAGGGGGGGGGGGGGGCGGGGGCGGGGGCGGGGGGAGGGACATTTGCTGCCATTGTTATTGCCTTCAGGGGGCCTCGCCGGGCTGCGGGCGCCGGCTGCGCGTGAGTTCCCTCGGCCCCTCCCTTTCGGGCTGGGGGTGCGCGCGAGCCAGGTGCGCGGGTGCGAGCGCGGGTGTGAGCGCGGAGGCGTGAGGCCGGAGCCGGGGCTGAGCGGGGGGGCGGGGGGGGGGGATCGGGCATTCCCGCCCCCGTGAGGGGGCGCGGGGGC